GGGGCGGGATGTGGTTGCTGTCCGCACCTGCAGTGGACCACGATGGGGCCGGCATCGGGCGGGTTACAGGTCTTCACCCGGCGCAGGAAAGCCAGGAAGGGAGTCGGGTACTCGGGGACCCCGTGGTCTGGCCACGCCGTGAACTGGAACTGGCGGACCTCCCGCTTCTCGCTGGAGCCATTCTGGGGACGCAAAGACAGCGCCTGTCACTGCGTGGCTCACAGGAGCAGGGCAGGGCACGCCCAGTTCACCGTGGCCCCGAGTGTGCGACTCCTGTCTCCTGCCCGACAGGCCCAACCTGTCCCACCACCAGCTCGGGCTCAGTAGAAGGTGGCTGCCCTTTGAGGGGCTGTGGTCAGAACGTGGGGGTCACCTGTGCCTGCCGACCCCACCCTACGCATCCGCAGACACAGTGCCACTGCCTAAGAGGGACTCAGGCCCTCCCTCCTCTGCCTCAGCCCTCCCCGGGGCCCACCTCCAGGGGCCAACGCCCAAGTCCTCCTGCAGCCCCAGGGCCTTGCAGAACCGACTCGGCCCCCTGCCCACCTCCCTCTGCTCCAGCCACATGGGCTCACTGCTCCTGTACCTCTGGGGACTCCATTCTGCCTCAGGGCCTTTGCACGGCCCTGCCTCCCACCCAGTCTCCCCTGGCCCCCTCCTTAGCCCTTCTGTGCGGCCCCCCACGCTGTCCTGCTCCTCTGCTAGTTTAACTCCCTCTACACGCTGCAGTCACTCTCCTCTCACATATTTGTTGTATGCCTTGTCTACTGGATTAGGAGCCCCACGAGGGAAGAACCCTTTGTCCCTGCTGTGCCCTGGTGCCCAGGCTGGGCTGTGACAAACAGCATTTCATTTCTGTGCATAAAGGGACTGGAGTTCCTGCTTCCTCCTGTAGCCCTGCTCAGAGTTCCTGGCACTTGGGCTGGGCGGGTTTGACGGATGCTGTGAGGTCAGCCTCGGTGTCAGGGCCACAAGGTGGAGCAGAGGTAGCCCCGTCCCTGCCGAGCCAATGACAAAGAGCCTGGGTGGGAAAACTGCACTAACTCAGGGTTACCGATGCAGAAACGGGAGGGAGTCACTACATGGATGGCAGCCATCATTAAATACAGGTTTGAAGATTCCCTCAACCCACCCTGACCCCTCAAGCCCAGCCAGGCCGGGAGTGAGAGGGTGACAGGCAAGGAAAAAGCCTTCAAAGGAAGGGGACAAGCTGTCTCGTCTTCCTGTGGGGCCAGACACGGCGGGGCCCTCCTGAGCTGCAGGTTCCTCCCCCATGTGGCAGGCAGCCTCCTGTGTCTTTGGGCAGAGGCTGCCACACCCCGCTACCCACCTTGTGCAAGGAGAAGGTCCTCACACAGAAGGTGGCCAGCTCGATGGTGTCCAGCAGCGTGACCTGGATGAAGCCGTAGGTCTCCGTGCCGCGGTTGGGCCAGTACTGGTCACACTTGATCTGCACGGGCACAAAGGGCGTCAGCTGGGGCCGGGCTGGCCGGGGCCCGAGGGCCGCGGTCCGGGTCTCACCCGAGACTTCTCCTCCAGCCGCGTCATCATGACGATGGTGGCAGACCGCTGCTCCCACACCATCCGCCAGAAGTCCCCGAAAGTCTCAGGCAGGGGCCCCTGGGTGGCGATGTATGCATTCTGCCGCCGGTAGCCATCCACGTAGTTGGCGTTGATGTAATCGCTGCCCACGATGCCTGTGGCCAGGGCGAGAGGCCAGGCTTGCCATCTTGGGTGAGAAACAGCCCAGCACTTCCTGGAAGCTCCCTCTGATGGCCCCAAACATGTCCCCAAGGCCACTGTGGGGCATGTGTGTTACGGTGTCTCTGCTCTGGCAGGAGAGCCACTTGGGGCCAGATCTCTGTCTATGGTGGAGCTACACACGCTGTGGGGTGCTGGGGTAGCCTCGGTCTCCAGCCACTTAATGCTACTTCACCTCATTCTGTTTCCCCAAATCATGACAAGCAAGAATGTCTTTGGACATTGCTACATCTCCCTTAGGCAGCAGATCTGCTCTGAATGAGACGCACTACTACAGAGGAACAGATGGAGCCGTTAGGGACAGCAGCCATCAGTTAATTAATGACAGCAACTATCAGTTAATTATGGACAGCAGCCATTAGTGAAACACACATCTAAAGATGCCAGTGGCCTCTAGGTGGAGCTATGCCAGGCTTATGACCAGAACCAGGCCTTCTTGGCTAAGAGAAGCTGTCTGTGGAATGAGGAAGAGCCAGGAAGCCTGGCTCTCTCCACGCTACCTTCAATGGGCTGGAGAATGACACGTGAGTGGTCGTAGGCGATGACGTTGGCGTAGCGGTTTTTGGGCTTGTTCACCTCCAGGTTGGAATGTTCCCACGTGAACTGCTGCCCAGGATCGATGGACTGTGGAGGGAGGAGGGCAAGGTGTGCATGTGCTGGGTGGGTCCCCGCCCACGGTATGGCAGCGGGCTGCGCCTGGGGTGTGGCGGCCGGCTGCAGGCTTACCTCGTACTCCTGAGACAGCTTGAGGCTGTCGTTGGCTTTGAGGCGCTCCGTGTGCTCCGCCATGTCGGCGATGGGGATCGGGGGGTGGCTGAGCATGCCTGCGGGGAGAGCAGAGCGCACCGCCGTCAGCAGGGGCCCGGCCGGCACGGTGGGGCGGGGCGCTCGGTGCGAGTCTGCCGGGAGGTGAGCTGCGGTTAGACGGGGCGACAGGGTGGGCTCAGCGGGTGGGGAGCTTTGCAGCGGCTCACGATGGGGCCTGACAGGGTGCGTCCTGCTCCCCCCAACCCAGCGGGAGTGCAGGGGCGGGGTGAAGGGTCCCTTGGAGACACCAATCTCCCAGCGCCCTATGAGAGGCGGGCACAGAGATGACAGAGCGGTGTGGCTGGCGGTGCTGTGGGCACACGGTCCCGGGGCAGGCCTGCGGCGGCCACCTCTTCTGCTGGGACCGGAGATGCCCGGACATCCTCCGCTGGGAGTGGTGGTGGAGGAGCAGGGCCAGGCACATGTGTGCTGTGTGCGGTGGTCCCCGTCCCTGTGCTGAGCACAGGAAGCCCGAGTCTGCAGCCCCAGGACGCGGGTGGGGGGCACCACTGCCTGAGAGCTGGGTCCGCGCACCCCTGATCGCAGAGGCCCTCGAGCCAGCTGTGGAGCCGTCCACAGAGTCCCTGTCCCGAACCCCCAGGGCGCCCTCGAACCCACACCCTCAGGGCCACACACGCAGCCCAACCACCTCCCCAGGGCCACCCGGGGCCCCACCCCCACCCTCCTCCAGGGGCCAGCGGGGTACGGGTGCGCGGCTCAGACAGAGACAGGAGGCGGATGGAGACCAAGACAGAACCCGGCGGGGCGGGGGGTGGGGGGGTGGGCAAGCCGAGAACAGAGACACAGGAACTAACTTTCCGAGTGAAACCCCGGCTCCCTGAGGGGGCTGCTGAGGCCCGAGTCTGCAGAGAAGCAAACAATAAATAAATGAACACATGCAGGGCCGCTACCCCCACCCTCGCTGGCCGCTGGCACAGAAGGCAGGGCCGCACGCCACCTGGGCCCTGGCCTGGGAACTGGGGCTCTGCGGGGCATCCTGTCCACGCGCCCCCACCCAGACCAGCCTGGCCTTGGGTTCCTCATAGAGGCCAGAAGGGCAGACAAGGGAAGGGGGAGCAAGACTGGGAGCGGGGGAGGACACATGGGCCCATGCCATGAGCTCTGGGGACAGCAGCCATCAGTTAAACATACATGTTGGGAAACCTTGTTGGGATGGAGACAGAGCTCAGAGAAGCATGGCAGCACAGTGGGGATGGCATGTGCAACACCATGACCCACCAGGAGGGTGCAGCCATGGGTCAAACACATAGTACTGAGAACTCGCATTTGGATGGAAACCAGAGTGACACAAATTAGCCCAGAGATGCAACAGAGAAGATACAGCAGGGGTGAAATGAGACCCTGCAGGACTGCAGCTGCCAGTTAAATACAAATGGTCAGAACCTTCAGTTAGATGGAAACGGAAGTGACGTGAGCCAGGCCAGAGGAGAAAGATGTACAAGAAGGGTAATAAATAAGCCCCCGTATGACACCTTTTTTTTAAAAAGAGGACAGCAGCCATCAGTTAAATACAAACAGCCTACTCATCCTCTGGATGAAGAAAGAAGTGATGTAAGCCGGGCCAGAGAAAGGAAAAAGAAGATACCAGGAATGGCATGGAGACTGACAGGAGCCTATCGGGAGGACTGCAGCCTTCAGTGAAACACCAATGTTTAAAGTCCCCGTTTGGTGGAAAAGGAGTTGATATGAACCAGTGAAGGAACAGAAGTGACCATGCTGTGAGCCCATGAGGAGAACAGCAGCCATCAGTTAAATGAACTCTTTATGTGGTTAGAAGCAGCTGGCATGAGCTCATTAAGAGGGAGGAGACGAGGACGACTGTGAAGCACCACATGGGAACGGGGTCTGCCTGGGGCCTCTGCCAGGGATGGCGGGGGACGCTCGCTGAGGGAATCGTGAGGAGGCAAGGACGCAGGAGAACCTGCCGGGCACGGGGGAGGCGTCACTCCTGTGCTTTGCCAGGGGACATGTGCCAAGGTCAGTGCGGGAGACGGCCGAGGGCGGCCCTCTACGTGGCGGAGAGGCGTTGAAGCCGGAGACGCGGACGGACAGCCGCTGCTCTGCCTCCCAAAGGCAATGCTGCCCCACACACCTTTTCCGGTTTTTATGCTGTTTAGGCTCCCGAAGAAGACAGCGCTCACCCATAAACGTAACTTTCAAAAGCCTCATCTGCTTATGTGCAGAACCTCTCACGAGAGTGCCCAGCCCAGAGCCACACAGTGGGAGGTGTCTGCGAGTCAGGAGCTCACACCCCGCTGCGCAGGGACACAGGCAGCGCCCCGCCCCGCCCCTCCTCCCTGCTGGGGCTCAGCACGCACCTGGAGTCTGGAAATTAATGCGCCTCATTTCCACAGGGTCCTTGGGGTGGTGGGGGGCGAGGTCGGCGTTGTTCAGCAGACACTTGGTGCGGGGCTCCGAGTCCTTGCGTTTGCTTTGTGGCGAGCAAGTGGGGAGCTCTGGTAAGTTCCAGTGTGCGCTCAAAGACCACGCAAACACACGTGCAGCTCAGGACCCGGCGCGGGGAGGCATGCACGCGCTTGGTGCGGGTTCCAGGACTGGGTGTGCCTCCAGGACGGGGCCTTCCTTACCTGTCAGGCTTGCTGCTCCCCGGACCAGACAGGCAAGGAGGGAGGGAAGGAGAGTGGTGAGGGCCCCGCCGAGGACTGGGGGCGCTCTTCTTACCCCGTCCTTTTTTCGGCGGTACCAGGGATTGAACTAGGGCTGAGCGCTCTCACCTGCCCTTTTTTATCTTAAGGCCAGGTCTTGCTAAGTTGCTATGTTGCCCAGGCTTGGTCTGAACCTGTGACCCTCCTGCCTCAGCCTCCCAGAGCACTGGGACTGCAGGCTTAGGGGGTGCCTTCCTTAACCACTCTGAGCCTCGGTCTCTCTCCCACTTGGACACTCACTAGGAGGGGCCAGGCCCCACTGTTGCTTGGGAAGGCGGGCCCTGCCCACTGGGGCTGCTACAGCTGCCCTTTCCGTCCTTGCTGCGGACACCGTGGCCCGCACCCCACATCCTACAGAGCTGGGGTGCAGGAGAGAAGCCTGCTGCAGGAAGCCCCGCCCTGACTGCCCAGGCTGTGGCCTCGCCCGATGGCCCCAACTTCTAACCTCGGAGGCCATGGGCGACCATCCTCCCACCCTCCCGCGCCCACGCCAGGCGCGCGGAGCTCACTTCTTGTACAGTAAGATGGCAATGACGATGCAGATGATGAAGACCACGGCCAGCACCGGTCCGATCACCCAGATGAGCCCCTCCTCTCCGTCCACGATGGGCTGGGGGTCGGGGTTGTCCAGCTGGAAGGGGTCTGAGAAGGGACTGGCCGCGAACGTCTGCAAGCGCACAGGTGGGGATCTGTCAGTGCCCACTGTCCTGTGGAGCCCAGCTGGCCTTCCCCAAACACCTACTGTGGGCCTCCCCGGCTCAATCCTCATGGGGCTCCAAATGGCCCAGTCAGTGCCAACCTCTGCTCTCTGCACACCCCTGGCCTCCGCACTCTGAGGCCCCTTCTGCTCCTCTTGCTCCTTGGGACATTTTTGCACATCCAAATCCTGGGCTGCCTTTTCTAGTTGAACTCCTACACGTTCCTCAAAGCCCCAGCTCCAGATCTTTTCCTCTAAGAATTTCCTTTCTGGACAGATGGTATCACTCAGGACTTACGGGCTCACTTTTCTGCAGCACAGCAAGCACAAAAAGGACGTAGCGGTGGCCAGGCTCCAGGCCCCGGTTGTCAAAGCCACCATATTGCTTCTGGTCCCCAGGACGGAAAAGCTGGGGCAGAACTGAGAAGCGGGCAGCAATGTAGGGCCGGGGCGCCTCCAGCTGGCGTGAGTGCCGCAGGCTCCTCCTCTGGAGCCGCGAGATGTCCTGGATGAGCTGTGGGAGCAGAGGAGCAGAGGGCTCAGAGCTGGGCTGGGATGCGTGGGGCCCATGGGTCTGGCCACGTGGCCTCACCTCCTCCAGATCCATGTCCTCTGGGCTGCCCAGCGGGGTGAGGAACTGGCCTCCGCGAGACTTGCGCAGCGGCACCATCACGATGAAGTAGTTCCTGTTAGGAGACTCGAGAGTCACGCCACGCCCCAGCCCCCAACCGCACAGCTCCCAGTTCAACCTCCAGGCTTGATCATGGTGTATCTTCTGCCTCAAAAGCTGACCTTAGGCACTTCCAGCTCTCAAACTCCTACATGTGCTTTAAACCCCCTGCTTCAATGCCCATAGCTTTGTTACCCTTACTTCTCTTTCTCAAGTAGCGCATCCCCCTCCCTGCCGGGGACTCCCAGCTGCCTCCCCCTGGGGGAGGTACTGGGGTGAGCGTACTGCACAGGCACGGGGCTCTGGCCATCGGGCAGGTACACAAAGATGTAGCCGTCAGGGTCAGGCTTGGGGGAGACGCCAGGCTTGCCACTCAGCATGTTGAAGGCTGTCCAGGCGGTGACTGTCTGCTGGAGACCGCCCAGGCTGCTGCCGCGGTTGGTCAGCACGAAATTGTAGAAGGTGTGGGGCTTGAGGTGCGTGATGAGCTTCTTGGTGGTGCGGCCGTCCACCTCCAGGGTCAGCCCGTTGTACTGGATCTGCGGGCCGGGCCAGCTCAGCAGGGCTGCAGGGCTCAGGGCCTGCTCCCTGCCGAGCTTCCCTTCTTCCCCAGCTGAGGTACTGACCTCAGACTAAGTGATCCCTGCTGATCTGACCCCAGACTAAACCCGAGCTCCAGATGAGGAACAAACTTGACTGAGCCCTGATCCCAGACTAACCCCTGATCCAAAGCTGAGCCTGGATCCCAGCCTGAGCACCAATCCCAGGCCAAACCTCAACCTAGATTAAGCCCTGGTCTCAGACCCAGCACGCCCTCAGACTGAGCCCCAGCCTTGACTGAGCCTGCATCCCCCAGACTCTGCAGCAACCGCAGAATTATCCTAAATCCAGGCAGAATCCCAACTCTTGTGTTCCAATCCTGACTGAGCTCTGGTCCTAGTCTGAGCACCTAACCCGGCCGGAGCCTCAGCCCTGATGATCCTGATCTCCCACCCGCAGCAGCAAGCCAGGCTGAGCTCTGGTCTCAAGCAGAGCTGCGCACTGAGCCTCGACCCCTGAGCCTTGGTCCCCAGCTGAGCCCCGCCCCTGCTGAGCCCTCACCTCGCGTGAGCACCGATCCCCACACAGGCAGAGCCCAGCGCCGGGCAGGTGCGCGACTGAGGCCCGACCCTAACTCAGCCCCAACCCCTAACTGAGCCTTGACCCTAGACCACGGCTCGTCTCACTGAGCCCTGACGCCAGACTTGGCACCACCAGAAGGAAGCCCCGGGCCAGGCTGGCCCCGCCCCTGCCTGGAGGCCTCACCTTGTAGGGCGTGGGCGAGTTATAGTTATCGGGAAACTCCCAGCTAAGCAGTACCGAGGTCTTCATGATCATCTTCACCTTGAAGTTCTTGGGGGAGACTGCGGCCGAGCAGGGAGAGAGCAGAGGAGAGTCGGTGAGCGCAGGCGCGGGAGGCGCGGGGCGGCCCAGACACTCCCTGTCACGGCTGTGCCCACGGCCTTCCTGCCTGGCCCTGGCCCGGCCCTGCCTGCCCTGTCCCGGGCCCCTGCTGCGGGAGACGGCGCAGGCTGCGGAGAGAAGGTGCAGAAGGGGCGGGGGAGGAGGATGGGGCTGGCGGTGCCGCCACCAGGCACGTCCCACCTTTGCCAACGCCGGAGGGAGCCTCGGGTCCGGACTCTGCCTTGAGTGTCCACAGGAAGCAGAAAAGCGACACTTACCTGGGCGGGGGGAGGGAGGGGGCTGGGGTGGGGGTCCGGCTGTGGCGGGGTGGCCGCGCCTACCTTGGTCCCGCAGGAACGTGCGGTAGCGGACAGGGGGGCTGTAGGGGCCGGGGCCCCGGCGCGTGTGGGCTCGCACTTGCAGGTCATAGGCCGTGTCGGGCTTGAGGCCCCGCAGCGTGAGCGCGTTCTCGGCCCCGGGCTCGGCCGCCGCGGGCAGCTCTGTCTCTCGCGGAGGCCCCAAAGCGCCGGCCTCCCGCACGGCCACCGTGTACTTGACGATGGCCCCGTTGCGCTCGGCGGGC